CAATCATAGAAATGCGGCCGATTGTGTCTGACATCCTGTTGTTACGGTTGTGGCTGCGCCCCCGCTTCCGCCACTTGAAAGTACGTGTTTTCTGCTCCCACGTGAAGTACTTGTATACGTCTGGATACAGGACATCGTTTTTGTCAGGATGCTGCTGCATTGCCTGGAAGAAAGCGGTGAGTGTGGTAGTAGGAGGACCAGAGTCAAGCAGATGTTGAACTTCTCCCTCCTCGCTGAAGACTATCTGCTGCTCGTCTTCCAGATGAATGCTCAACTGCTCAACTGCTGGGTACTTCTTCTGCACAGGGAAGTCAAATATGCGCCAGCAAGCTTCAGAGGCACTGATGTATCTACCGACCTCATATCTTTTGATTTCATCATGTGTTATATCTTCAACCGGGCCACCGACTCTGACCATACATCTATCTGGACCTTTGTGGATATACTTATACAGGTATTTGACAACATCAACACCACCCACGGGCTCCACATTGATATGGCAGTCAAATTTCAGAGACAATACGGGGCAGTAAGGAACGACCCACTCATTGCCAACCGAAACCTCAACACCACCAGACAGTGTCTTGGTGAATGGTATCCCAGGTGAGTCTGGCTCTTTTCTCCTCCGGTGGAGTGGGAAGGAGTTGTCTGCAAACACTGTGTGATTCCTGAGCTCCTTGGGAAACCCTTTCGTACATTCGCCTTTCACCTCATCCATACAGGGAGACTTGGAGTTGAGTGCTCCACATGGGCCATGAATCATGTGCTGGGTGACGATTCTGTAGAGCTCTGAGTTAGATCTATCTGGGATCTCGGCACACACCACTCGATCGATGTCGGCAGGAGTGCGGGGCTGGTCAGCTGGTACCATCGTGAAGAGCGCGTGACCGTGCTGAAAGAAAGGAAGGGGGTGGATTAGTGTATAACGATAAATAGGAAAAAGCGCAACATAGAACATGCAGTGTACATATTTTGAAGGAATTTGTTAATATAATTATGTCTCTTACTGGTAGGTGTCGTTTCTGTGTCTCCTTGACGGCACAGTAGGCATCACAGTGGCCCAATGCGTCTTGCTTGAGCACAACATTTAGGAGCGCCTCCCATTTCATATGAAAGACGCGAGCAACGATGTCTGGACGCTGATATGAGGTTTGCCCAGGGAGAAGTGATTGTGTTATCTCTGGCCAGTTGGGGTTACAGGTAAAGGTTATGAAGTAGGTTGGTTTTCCATATTCTCTGACGATCGACATTGCATCCTGGAAATAGATAATAGGATTTGAATATACAGCAAAAACTTGCAATACTGCAATGCAGTAATATCTGCATGATACGACATATGTGTGAACAGAGTACTCCCTAATAAATGGACACGTGTATGCAATAAAATTTTACGCAGAGTACAGTATATGGGTTAGGTGAAATGGTGGTGGTGAGTAGGGGTCATTACATCAGGTATTGTATTGGTGTTGTAGCACTGGATGTGACACAGATATGACAAATATCTTTGCAATATCACCACAATAAACAGAGTAGTAAAATGGACACACTGTAATGAATTCTTACCTGGAACTGCCTGGCGTACCATCGTGGAGATGCATACATAGTTGGGGGTAGTATCGTTCTTTTTCCGGGTAGCATTTCTTCACCATTCTCCACAGCATCCATGACACAGCTGGAACGAAAATGCGTGGATGATAGTCGACATAATACAATGTCATATAAAATATAATGTATGAACGATGTGAAACCATGAAAGTAAAACCAAACATAATTATAAAATGTTACTTACCGATACTTCTCAGCTTTGACAGTCTTCTGATTCAAGCGGAACCATGTCAGTCGCTGTGTTTCGATCTTCGCCATCTGATCGCACATGTACTGCTGTGTCAGCTCCGCGCCGCGGAGAAGGAGATTGAATTCCGCAGAGATATCACGCCCTTGCAGGTGATAACGATAGAAGTCAGTAGCCGTGATGCCTTGGCGACCATTC